GTTATGCTAATTGTTATCCTTCTTTACCATAATGAGGTCATCAACGCACGAAACCCGCGCTGTTTTTAAGGAAGTCAAGTCCGACTTAATCTTTACGACTTATTTACTGACGATTCCAGTGTGATCTCTCTCTCTCTCTTTCAGCCTAGTCTGTGACTTGCTTGAACGTGGACATGATATCAGTCAATCGCAAGAATAGTCTGGTACAACCTTCATGGAATTCCTTGTGTGGCTGTGTCCAACTCATAGCGAAAGCAATATATTGACAGTTTGTTAATGTGCTTCTACTTGATACGGTTGTGATCATGCCTGATATTGCCGGCCCCAATTATGTCACGGTCAGTAGTCTCCATGTGTGACGATAAGCGGCAGCCGATCCGAAAGTTCCACTTATTGTCTTCGCCAGCGACGGAGACCGAAGATCCAAGATACTCTCGACGGCCGGTATCGAGTCAGGTCTTGAGTTGCCCTTCTCTTCGACGCCTCTATGTGGGCTGCAGCGCCAGATTAAGGACAGTATAAGAAAGCACTTGAGGTGGATGATGGAGAAGCGGTAGACTGACGCAGGTGGTTGTTTTATGATTACTGTCGCTTCAGAGTGAGTGGTCTTGTGTGGCTATCACATGTGAATGCAGACAAACAGGCTTCAAAGACATCTATATCCTGTAAGCAACTTAATCCAAAAATAAAGAGCCTAGTGAAAATGGTCCCCCTGGATGACCCCGAGAGACCTTCGAAGGATTCCTTGCAGTTCCTCGACCCATAGCATCGAAAGCCCAAACGAAACGTATTCCTATTTTGTAATAAAAGTTAATTCAAAAACTGGGAAGTCCCAACAGTTTCCACAGAAGTTCACTTTAAAAAAACTACGAATAACGTTTCAAGACAGAATGGCAGCGAAGAAAAACACTTACTCCTTAGTGCTGATAAAGTCACGATCCTCCGGTCGTGGTAGTGGGTTGCTTAGGATGGGGTTGTTGCTTCCACCGCCATAGGACTCCCAATCGGGTCGCTGTTCCAGCTTGAACACTTGGTACTGCATGGCGACGAATATGTACTGAAGGAAGTCCACTAAAATGGCAACAGAAGGTAGGTGAGCCAAATAAGAATGTAATTTGAACTAAGTACTGACTACAGAGAGCGGCTGATTGTCCCTGGTCCCGCCTTCAGGCAAGCCCCCAATGTGACAGAACACGATCAGGCCGCTGACTCAGGCCTGCCTGGCTGTAATACTGGACTTGCAAGAGACAAGTATAAATTTTCAAAAAGAGTCCTAAAAATGTGCCACCTTTATTGTCAACGGAGCCCACAGCTCCAATAAAAAGGCGTCCACTGCAACACAGCAAAATAAATACCGATACTTACTGTGTCCGACAATTGGAGAGCGATAGTTGAATTAATAGCATCAGGAATGCGTCGAAGGTTCACAAATAAGGAGCCTAAGCATGGGCAACTGGAATCGCAGAACACGTGCTGGAGGCAACCAGAGTCCCTTTTGCTCTCTTTAGCTACATCCACAAGAAATTATATTGCATATGCCATAAGAATATTGCTACGCCTTCATACGTACTTAAGCAATCCGATCGGTTGTATTCTGAAGACAACCGACTGAAGCAGCATCTCTCGTACAGAACTCAGTTCACCTCCTAACATGTTATGCCACGTGACTACGAGAAGTGGTAGCCGTTTGGGTGAAAGGTAAGTTGGTCATCCACCTTAGATACCCGTAGCCTCAGAATTCTGTCTTATTGGACCGATGGTATTAATTTAGTTTATTAGGTTAATTTGAGTGTCTGTAGTTTACTTTTTAATTAGGTTACTTTTGTTAAGTTCAGCTTCGTTTAGTATATAGGAGTTATTTAAGAATATGTACCTAACTTTGGTGGTATCTAACTAAACTAAAACTAAAGTAAAAGTAATCACAGAAACAGGGGTACGTAAGGTGGATGACCAACTTAACCTTTACCGCCGTTTCTAGTTAAAGTGTACCAATAATACCGTAGCCCCTACCTCACAATTTATCTGTCAGGATAGGTCACCCTCTCGGGTTAACTAAGGAAGTGGCCGCGGTTCGTTTCAAATGCAAATTTTCCCTCCTACTAACTTGATCTGTTGTGAAAAATGTTACACTCTACTTGAAAATGTTTTTTTTTTCATTTTACGATGGTTTAACAGAAAACGCATTTTTATCACATGCTGTGGTTTGCCTTCAATTAAGGATGTAAAGCTGTCGAGGGGGCTGTGTACGGAAAGCAGGCTATACCCAAGAGAACTCGACAAGGTTTAGTTCGTCAAATCTAGGAGGAGCATGTCCGCAACCGGAAACGCTCCGCAATCCGAGAGGACGCTCTAGGTGTACTTTTAAAAGGCAGTGGTCGACAAAACAGCGGGTAATTGCACTGATAATCTGCGCTCAAAACAAATGGCTGGTTTCGCCAAGGTTCACCTGAATGCACTTTTCAACAAAAAATAGCAAAATATTGCACAAGTACTAATCAGACCATCCTTAGTCACTTGACGTCCTGATGAGAGAAGTTCACAATTTTGGATCGCAGGTGTTGTTGGAAAACGACCAACGTCGACGCTTGACAAGCACTGTCGATTTGTTTGCGTAAAACAAGGACATTCGTGGATAAAAATGACAATTTCTCAATTGCATAGTCATTGATGAAGAGAAATCTTGTCTGCACAGCAAAAGGAAGCAAAGCAAAGAATGAGTGAGTGAGTGAGCCGCGATGAACGAACAACACACCTCGACTGAAACAGAAGCGTCATCTGTCAAAAAAGCGTAATTTGCTTGTGGTGAGATCGTGAGAGCTTAATCCAGTACAAAACGCTTGGATGGAGAGAAACGTGCAGGTGGTCTAACTGCGTCGTTCACATAGATTTATTAACCAAAAACTGCCCTGCGGTCAATGCCAATTGGTTCTAACAAATGACAATGCCCGATCTCACAGGGACCAACTTACTGGGATAGACATTAAGAATTCAACTTTTGTCAGTTGCTTTTAAAATAAATCTCACATATCTTCATGGTATAAGGAACGTTAATAAATGCACAAATAACATATCTTAGGAATGGATATTTCACGACCTCAAAAAGTCTCATAATTAGAAACTTTTTGGAAACCGAATTATATTCCTTCCACGAGCACAAAATTTGGAGGGCGTAATTTGCTATGGAATAAGTACAGATAAGAGCATCCGTACACCTATTTTCTGTTAAATATTCTGAAATTACAATGCTATCGCAAATAAATTGTAAAAATTCATACTACTTAAGTAACCAGTATTCCAGTGTGGTTTTCAGCAGACGGCCGAGACGGAACTCGTTCGACAACCAGCATCCTGGCCTGACTGTAGCATCTAGGAATTAGGCTGCACGGTGACCAATGCCGTAAGCATGCTTACGTAGTCATTTCTACTTGAAAGATTTCACAATTTCCGTTAAATTTTAATGGGATAGCATGGCTGCTGTCATTCACGCACAAGTCATCTTTTCAGCAATCGCTCATGCGAAGAATCGTCAGACTGAAGCAAATACATAGCGCTACATCGTAACTGAATGAAAAAGTCTCCGCGGGAAAAGGGCACGGAGAAAATTGCGTGGCATCAACTCAGCTGTTGCTCCTTTTATAAAAGTATCGTAATATGGTTCAAACGGCGTTTCGCAAGTGTTGATCAACAGCATTCTCTTGAGCGCACCAGAAGAAACTCCCGTGGATTTGGCAGAGGAGGGTCTTCCTCTTTCGAGATCGTGCCTATACTACGGCGGTAAGTGTTATAACCTTGCTATAAGACAAGATGTTCGTCTCGATCGAATCCCCAAAGGAGAATTCGACAGCACGGGTGGAGGGATGTAAGTATATCGACGTGCTTAGTACAACTTACAACCTAAGTCGCGTTCGAGTCACTGCATCAACCTGCTTGGAGCATAACTGGGGCATCAACAAAATAGATGGCCGAAGCTGTCGCGTACAAAACTGAGAGTTATTAGTTGCTTACGAACCTGTCTGGGCGCTCGATTGACACAAAGCATTATCATGGGACTCTCAACGGCTACATCAATCGTCTGTTGGTCTGCGTCATCAGTACAGCGACAAAAATCAACCCAGCGTAACCAGCATGCTCTACCGATCACTTCCGTGGAGGACAAAGAGGCTTGTAAGCGCAAATTTCCACCAGCTATGCTTATTGAAAATATAAGATGCATGTCTTAGACTCAGATATTGTTACAGTATAGGTGCTACCTGCTTATTAATTAGTACTTAACTACCGACACAATTATAGGATATAGCCATGTTAGTTTATTACAGAAGAGATTGATCTCCTATTAGACCGGAGACGTCCT